TGATACATCCCTCCTGGGTGCTCTGTAGATATTAGTTCCTGCCCAGGTTTCCCTACTCAGCACTTTGCTTGGGTGCCCTGGGCCCCGGGCACGGATGTTAGGTGTAGGTCTGAGACCCTTCTGGGCGGAAGCTGACAGCTGGCGTGTATACTTCTGACAGCATATGCCTTGTTTATGTGGATGGAAAACAGTGTGACTCATCATCTTGTTCTTCCTTTTTTAATCAGAAATTCTTTTTGAGATCTCTTGAATAACAAACGGATTTAATCTGCTTACTTCTTTATTATAATGTTGATATTTTCTACTTTTGCCTTAAAAGTATTGTGGAGGCTTCAGTTTTCTTGTCTATTCAGTAGGAATAACAATAGAGTTGTTCTTCATGGGTGTTTTGTGCAGATTAAATGAAATAATGTACATAAAGTGCTTAGCATAGTAGCTGCTATGCAGCAGTCAGTAAACTTGAGGTATTATTATTAATAAAATAATAATCTGGGGGAGGGAGGGATGGCTCCCAGAACCTATACACTGGTTTTAGTATTCAAATTAAGCAGGCCAAGAAAGTAGAGCTATACATTGATTTACTGTACTAACTCCCTGCATGACTTTGGACAAAACCTATAATGTCTTTGGATCTCCGTTTTCTCCAATAAATGAGAGAATAAGGATAAATAACCTCAGTTTAAAACTTTTGTGATTCTAGTAGACGATCTGTATTTTTTCTCTCCAATCTTCCTTTCAGCGGCCTTATCAAAAAGTTCTGTCTTTGGGCTTCCCTGGTGGCGCAGTGGTTGAGAGGCCGCCTGCCGATGCAGGGGACGCGGGTTCGTGCCCCGGTCCACGAGGATCCCGCGTGCCGCGGAGCGGCTGGGCCCGTGGGCCATGGCCGCTGCGCCTGCGCGTCCGGAGCCTGTGCTCCGCAGCGGGAGAGGCCACAGCAGTGAGAGGCCCGCGTACCGCAAAAAAAAAAAAAAAAAGTTTTGTCTTTTTGTATAGATTAGTGTAAGTGACATTTATTGCCAGATGTGACCTTTTGTTTTAGCACACTGTAGAATCCCAACGTTAATATCACTTTCTATAAATATAGATTTCGGGTGAGGAAATGTTCTAGCTCAAGAGAAGTTTAGCTATTGAGGCTCTTTCTCTTTTTAGACTCTCGGTCCGTGGGCTATTACTCACCATTGGCATATTCTTCCCCAGTCTCACTTATGTCACCTTCTTCTTTCGTGATCGCTGCTGTTGATAGCCACCTACAGCTTCTAAGTTCCCCACTCAGCCTTCCCTAGTGGTTGGCATTGCATCTGAGTTGTGCTTTCTTGCTTCCCCTACTTTCTGAAATTTAAAAATAGGAAATTAAAAAAAAAAAAAAAACCACAGTCTTTCACATTGGCTGAACCCTGTTATTCATCCAACAGATTTTCTGGTGAATTCCACAGTATAACGTATACAGTCAGAACTCTGTCAGTTCAGAGGAAGCCCTGTAAGAAATGGACAAAGAGATACTTTTATTTTGACTGTCAAACGCACAATCAGAAATGGGCGGCAGCAGCCCGCAAGAGGAGGCTTTGGAAGGTGAATCAGAGAATCAGAATAGCTCTCAGCTCTGCTCCTTGACTTTTCTCCTTACCTGTCCAACTTTTCTGAACCATCGTGAAGAATCATTGGGTTTGGGCTTCCCTGGTGGCACAGTGGTTGAGAGTCCGCCTGCGGATGCAGGGGACACGGGTTTGTGCCCCGGTCCGGGAAGATCCCACATGCCACAGAGAGGCTGGGCCCGTGAGCCATGGCCGCTGAGCCTGCGCGTCCAGAGCCTGTGCTCCGCAACGGGAGAGGCCACAACAGTGAGAGGCCCGAGTACCGCCCAAAAAAAAAAAAAAAAAAAAAATCATTGGGTTGATAAGAGGACTCTTTTTTAAGAGTCTGACTCTTGCGCTATTCATACCAAGGACAGGTCCTGGGAAGCACAAAGACTCTTCATAGATCTAAGGAAAATTATTTCAAAAGCCGCAACTGACATCATGGCAAACACACTGAACTATGGCAACTTCCACATTAAATATAATTTTATTGCTGGCAAAATTTTTTGAAGATACTTTTACAATTTTGCTTTGGAAAACGGTTGGCTACAAGTAAGTGATTTAACCTATAATTGGCTATTAATTTCTCAGCAATCATCTTAGCATACTTGGGAATTATTAAATTAAAACCTAAATCCAGCGTATATATTGCTTCCAAAGGAAATATTTTTGATTACTAAATCAACAATTAATGAAGTTAACCCAACATTACATTTTGTAGACCTTTAAAATTATTTTCCGTTTTGTAGTTATCCTGTTTTGAAACCAGTAAATGGTTTTCAAGGTCTCAGACCTTTTTATCAGCCCTTGAAAAGCTGAAAGGCCCCAGGCATCATACCTTAATGACCAATGGTTAGAAAACGCTCTGTCTGGGAAATCCTAAGCTCTGAGGGCTTCACTCTTGCCTTCTTCAAGGAAAAAGCACTGTTTGGGGGACATTTGTCTAACAAAACACAACAAGCTGGCATATAAATAGCACTAGTTGCTAAAACAAAGAGAGACCCCTACCGAAAAAACAGAGTAATTGGGGGCAGAATCCCTAGGTTTCGGCCATAAGTTCACTGGGTGACCTTGAACAAGTGCTCTGTGGCCCTTTTCCTGTGCCCAGTAGTACTTTTCCAGCATATATTTCATCTGGCCAAGTGGGAAGGCCAGGGCCAGCAGTTGTAGGAACTAAAAGATGTGCAGAACGATCTCAACTTAAGAAAAGGGTTTCCCTCACACATTAAAAGCGAGGCACTTTTTAATGTCTGTATTCAATATTTTGCCGAAATGAAAGAAGGAAGGGGAGGGAGGAGAGAGAAAGGGAGGGGAAAAAGGAGGAAGACGGACTGCGCTGTCACACTTGCGTTTAAAACACTACTGATGTTTGATTTCAGTGCAGAATGACGAGTCTGCCTTCTCCAGAAGGAAAGGCTTTCATATGAGATTCTCTCAGTACCCCATTCAGAAGCCATCTATTATCTAGTTTCGCTTGGTGAGGGGCAAGGACCATGAAAAGAACACAGATATCAGAATCAAATAAGTTATATTCAAAGCTAGCCCTACCACTCATTTACTCAGCAGTTCTCAAAGTGTGGGCCAGGAACGCCTAGGGTACTCTGAGAGCCTTTCAGGGTACCCACAAGGTCAAAACTATCTTCATAATAATACTAAGATGTCATTTGCCCTTTTCACTGTCTTTCTTTTCATAAGTGAATTTTTCCAGAGGCTATGTGATGTGATATCACGACAGACCGGACACATATACACAGATATCAAAATCCAACTACCTTATGATGATCTCTGATAATATCTGAATTGGAATCTCCTCCAAATCTTTTAGAAAACTCCACTAGTGGAATCTAGTTGAGAAACTGAAGGAAGAAAACTATAATATATAGTTCTTCACTCATTAGTGAAGTTCTTCACTCATTAGGCCCTTCCCTTTCTTTGACCAAAGCCTACAAACTTTTTGCTCCTTTATCAGGTACTGTGTCCTTTGATTTCATTTTATTCATCCCCCAAAATGAGAATAATTCCAATGAAGTATTCCCTGACTTTCGATGTACAATGGATCACTAGAGTTACATTTATTGCTCTGCCCTGCAGACCGTGATACTCACCTCTCTGCCACCATAGAAAGCATCAGAAACATCACTGTTGTTGGAAGTTGCCTCAAGGAGCCATTACACTATGGAGTGGATGGAAAGACATATTTTAGGATAAATATAATTTTGCTCACTTATTTTCATTCTTTGAAATTGTTTAAACTAGGCCTTCTTAAACCTCTTATCACTTCTTACTGGACAGAAATTAAATGTGTAGACATTATTTTTAGACTGATGAAAAAATAAATATATAGTATGCAAACCGTGGGGAAAAAAATCCAACTATCTTCTATTAAGCCACACATTAAAGATATTTTCACAAATGTAAAACAATGCCACTCTTACCTATAACTTTTTTTTGTTCTGGAAAATATAATTACTTTTAATTTTTTTAATGTCATTTATGTTCACATGTCATGGGGTTGTTCTTTTTAAATGAATTAATAAATACATATTTTAAAATTCCTAAGTCTTAATGTCTAACATGGCAAATCTTGATAAATATAAACCACATTTTAAAAGTTTATTGGCATCCTCAATACTTTCTAAAAGTACAAAAGGGTTCTAAGACCAAAAAGTTTGAGAATCCCCGTACTGTCCAACAGTAACTATCATTTATTGAATGTGTCTTTGTGCCAGGAGCTGTGCAGAGCACACTAAATTCTTCACCTCTTAATCTTTGCAATAAAATTATAGAGACGTTAAAAACAGACCTTGCTAGCACGAGGTCTCACAGCTGGAAATGACAGAGATAACCACGTCCTCTGACTCCAAAGCCACATTCTTTTTTTTTTTTTTTTTTTTAATTTATTTATTTATTTAGGGCTGTGTTGGGTCTTCGTTTCCGTGCGAGGGCTTTCTCTAGTTGTGGCAAGCGGGGGCCACTCTTCATCGCGGTGCGCGGGCCTCTCACTATTGGGGCCTCTCTTGTTACGGACCACAGGCTCCAGATGCGCAGGCTCAGTAGTTGCGGCTCACGGGCCCAGTTGCTCCGCGGCATGTGAGATCTTCCCAGACCAGGGCTCGAACCCGTGTCCCCTGCATTAGCAGGCAGATTCTCAACCACTGCGCCACCAGGGAAGCCCCAAAGCCACATTCTTGATTAGTGAACAGTACTCCCTCACAAACTCACTCTCTGTAACTTTGAAAAAGTTATTTCGCTGCTCCAAATCTGTTTCCTTACCAAACATGGGCAGAGTCCTGCCTCCCCTGCAGAAGAGTTAATATGCATCCAAGCGCCTAGCACAGGGGCTAACACCAAAGAGACCCTTCCATCCCTTCCTGTCCTTTACATGTTAGACCAACGAGACTCAGCAACTTCCCTTTTTCCCTCTAGATGGTCTTCAAGCAGACAGAGAGGCTGACGGCACAGAAGGAGTTGATGAAGATATGATTGTGACCCAAAGTCAGACCAACTTCATCTGCCCCATTACACAGGTACTGTTTTCTCCTCCTTCCCCTGAAAGAAAAAGCGATTCACTTCATAGAGGCAAAGGGTTCCTGTTTGCTTTCTGACTTCATTTCATGTCTAGAGTTGAGGAGGGAGGAAAGGAAAGGGATGAGAGTTGAAGAGTATACCTGGGAAAGAGGTTTCAGCCAATG